CTTCCAGTCGTGGCTCCATGGAACTTCTGTCTTCCAGTCGTGGCTCCCTGGAACTTCTGTCTTCCAGTGATGGCTCCATGGAACTTCTGTCTTCCAGTCGTGGCTCCATGGAACTTCTGTCTTCCAGTCGTGGCTCCATGGAACTTCTGTCTTCCAGTCGTGGCTCCCTAGAACTTCTGCGTTCCATTGTCTTTCCAGTTGTTGTTGCTTATCAGTGAAGATTTTTTGTATTATTATTATTTGTCTACCACAGACGTGGCCACACATTAACAATGCTAACCAGCATATATATATACATTTTCATCTGTCCTCAATGGACAGGGTTAGAGATTTATTAAATATATAGTCCAGTGATGAACGGTTGAGAAATTAGGAGAACGGAAACAGGTGGGTGCTACATAGCCTGGTTGGAAGGGAAGAGGCATGGTGGGAAGGGACAGGGGAAGGGACAGGGTGTGCAACGACTATGAATGGAAAAGCATGTTGCCTTGGAAGAGGTAGAGAAAAATACGGAAGGGAGGGCGCACGACCAGAGGAATGAATACAGGAACACGGAAGAGAAGGGATCAGATGAAGGAATTGGAAGAGGCAAAAAATAAAGTATAAACAATGACTTACGTTTCATATTAGGAAGCAGAGAAGAAACATCGAGATTGACAAATAAAGATTTTCAGACACTGACAGGGTAGGAGACATATATAACCAGAACTTTAAACAGATATAGGCAAACACCACACTGCATATATATATATATATATATATATATATATATATATATATATATATATATATATATATATATATATATATATTATTAAATAATATTTCATTCACCTAGGCACTAGCAGACTCGAACCGTTGATCCCCAAGACCGTGAGGCAGAATTTCTATCAACTGGGTTATGAGCGGTCTTAATTTGGAAAGATTCCAGAAACAATTAACAATAAGCTCAGCTGAAATTTTCGACTTAACCTGCCTGTTACTGAAGCTCAGAGCCATGAGTGATCCACGCACGGCCACGGCATATAAATTGTTAACCACACTTCCCTGGAAATTAACATTTCATTCTCCTGGGCACTTTGAGTTGTTCATGGTAAGGGTAGAGTAGTGTGATGAAGGGTAGAGGAGTGTGGTGGGGGTAGAGGAGTGTGGTGGGGGTAGAGGAGTGTGGTGGGGGTAGAGGAGTGTGGTGGGGGTAGAGGAGTGTGGTGGGGTAGAGGAGTGTGATGGGGGTAGAGGAGTGTGGTGGGGGTAGCGGAGTGTGGTGGGGTAGAGTAGTGTGGTGGGGGTAGAGGAGTGTGGTGGGGGTAGCGGAGTGTGGTGGAGGTAGAGTAGTGTGGTGGGGGTAGAGGAGTGTGGTGGGGGTAGAGGAGTGTGGTGGGGGTAGAGGAGTGTGGTGGTCGTGGTGGGGTAGAGATGTAGTGTTAGAGGGCACTGGGACCTGGTTTAACTGCATTACAGAGAAGTGAGAAACAGACACCTGACTCGAGTTCTGTGCCAGGGGAGTGAAGTACATGGACTGGCACCCAGCTTGATCGTGGCACAGTGAGAGGAGGAGGCGAGCGAGCGACCTGACTAGGTTGTGGTCGGAGTGAAGTGGATATGAGTGGAGGACCCCGCTTCACTGTCGTTCTGGGGTACTGGGGGATTGGGGGGTACCCCAGCGTACCAATCTCTGTTGACGAGAAAGAAGTAAACTGCACTCGAGGAGGGAAGTGGGCTCTGGGTACTAGGTACAACGCGGGGAACCTGGCATGGCTTTGGAACGGAAAGGGGAAGGTGGAGAACGGGGGTATTATACCCGCCTTGGCTGTGGTACAGGAGCGGGCGAGACACGGGCTCGCTGCTGGTGGTACAGGGACAGTATGAACACGGGGTACCGGCCTCACCTGTGATACAAGGGCGGACGGGACTTGGCGGACCTGCCTCTTCTCTGGAGAGAAAGGGAGGCGGGTCATGGTGAAACATGAATGGATGTTTGTTGATAGAGGGAAGGTGGCGATGCCAGGGAGGAAGAGATGGACCTGCAAGGACTCGGGCTACGACGACGGGTTCCCTTAACATGATGTCCGCTGCTGTTTTGCAGTGTAATGAAAACCAATCAATAACTAGAAATAAGACAGTGTACACTAAGCGAACGAGAGATTGTTCATTCTCCTGTCGGTATTCGGTTACGGTAAACCTCTTAAGCTTACGCTCTGTGTAAGAATAGGTCTGGCGAGCGCCACCCTTCACTCCCACGCATCTTTTGTGTCAACAAGACAAGTTTTTTGGGGGGACAGAGGAGGGCTATTTCAGTGGTTAAGCCCAACAGGACTCACCTCCCTTGGGATATAATTGTAATTTTAGTTTGGTGTTGGCCTTAAGGACAATAGCTGGAGCGTTTTCAAAGCCCCCACAATAGGTTACTGATCTACAAGTATACTGTACCCCTCAACACAGTTTGGGACTAAAGTATACTCTGGGTGTATATACACCGAGAAATGGTATACACGTCAGTGTGTATATATATATTAAGTGTGGTTCAGTGTACGAAGTGGATCGGCGCTGAGAACTGCGTACCTGCAGGGACCTGTTCTCTTGCAAGGTAGAGTCCTTTAAATAAACTTGTTAGGTCAGAGATATAGTTGGCCTTGAGCCAAGGGAGACTTGACATGCAGTGGTAGACACTCCAGCCTCCTGCCTGGAGGATGCCTCATCTTAAAAGAGAGTGCATGTAGCTCATGAAACTTTATCATAAACTGCTCTTTTGAAATTATATATATATATATATATATATATATATATATATATATATATATAGATATATATATATATATATAATGACCAGACCACACACTAGAAGGTGAAGGGACGACGACAATCAATGTTTCTCAAGTCGACGACAATCGACTTGAGAATGGTCCAGGACGGACCGAAACGTCGTCGTCCCTTCACCTTCTAGTGTGTGGTCTCGTCATCATACTATAGCCACGTTGTGACTCATCGCCTGTATATATATATATATATATATATATATATATATATATATATATATATATATATATATATATATATATATATATATATATATATATATAATGTGTGTGTTACTAATGAAGGTTCAAACAAATATAATTTTGACTAGGTCTGATGACACAGTTAGAAGCCTGGTGTAGATCCGGGACTAGAGGGCCTTCGCCGTCCCCCTCCCCTCCCCCCATGAACCCCCTCCCCGTGAAGCCCGTGGCAATGAGTGACTTAAAAACTAACGATCCGCTTGCTTCCTGTTGCCATCTGAGGCATTGTTGTTGTTGCCACTCCCACATTTGTACCCGCCTCCTGCCCCCCCCCTCTCCCTCCCTCTCTCCCTCCCTCCCCTTCTCCCTCCCTCATCACTCATCTCATGCCTCCATCCCTATCCTCCCCTCCCCCCCCCACTCCCCCTCCTCGACCCTCCATACAACAATAACAAAAAAATTCCCAACAAATATTTTACGTTTTTCTTCGTCTGATGTTGGGGAGCTTCAGGAGGATGTTTGTGGTGGCAAGTCTCTTTAATTTGTAATTCTACATGATGTTTGCTGATGTTTATACCATGAATACGGTATTGTATGTGCTCAAACCATAATTGTGGAGATTCTAATGTAATAATGGTTTTGGGGAGCTGGCATGTGAAGCGTGCTGCCTCACCCCCCGTGTGGAGAGAGCGTGCTGCCTCTCCTCCGTGTGGAGAGAGCGTGCTGCCTCACCCCCGTGTGGAGAGAGCGAGCTGCCTCTCCCCCGTGTGGAGAGAGCGTGCTGCCTCACCCGCGTGTGGAGAGAGCGTGCTGCCTCACCCCCGTGTGGAGAGAGCGTGCTGCCTCTCCCCCGTGTGTGGAGAGAGCGTGCTGCCTCCCCCGTGTGTGGAGAGAGCATGCTGCCTCACCCCCGTGTGGAGAGAGCGTGCTGCCTCACCCCCGTGTGGAGAGAGCGTGCTGCCTCACCCCCGTGTGGAGAGAGCGTGCTGCCTCACCCCCGTGTGGAGAGAGCATGCTGCCTCACCCCCGTGTGGAGAGAGCGTGCTGCCTCACCCCCGTGTGGAGAGAGCGTGCTGCCTCACCCCCGTGTGGAGAGAGCGTGCTGCCTCACCCGCGTGTGGAGAGAGCGTGCTGCCTCACCCCCGTGTGGAGAGAGCGTGCTGCCTCACCCGCGTGTGGAGAGAGCGTGCTGCCTCACCCCCGTGTGGAGAGAGCGTGCTGCCTCACCCCCGTGTGGAGAGAGCGTGCTGCCTCACCCGCGTGTGGAGAGAGCGAGCTGCCTCACCCCCGTGTGGAGAGAGCGTGCTGCCTCACCCGCGTGTGGAGAGAGCGTGCTGCCTCTCCCCCGTGTGGAGAGAGCGTGTTGCCTCTCCCCCGTGTGGAGAGAGCGTGCTGCCTCACCCCCCGTGTGGAGAGAGCGTGCTGCCTCACCCCCGTGTGAAGAGAGCGTGCTGCCTCACCCCCGTGTGTGGAGAGAGCGTGCTGCTGCCTCACTCCCCGTGTGGCGAGCGTGAGTCTGTCGTCTTCACACACCCAGACGGCCAGGAACGTCTCCGCACACTTCCGCGAGAGCCGAGGGTGGGAGCGTGGGAGAGGAGCCCGAGGGCTGCGGAGCATGGGCCACCGTGGGTGGGACGTGGGAAGAGCGTCATGCAGTATGCGCAAAATAAGCCACTGAAGCCAGTAGGGAACGACTGACTACGCCAGTCACTATTACCGTTTACCTATTTTCATGTTACTTGTATTGTTTTCCCCCATTGTGTTGACAAGCATAATGATGGCGATAAAGAAAATCTCGTAATTAACGAGATATTACGTAAGAAGGACGGGCACCACTCTCTGACGAGTGATGGTGTGGGGCGGAGTTCCTGATTGGTTAGTTCCACCCCCTTGCCACCCCGCGCGGCCATTGGTCCGCGCGACTTCCCTAGATAATGTAGCCCCGCCCCTTGCTGCGCGCTGATTGGTTTACTGTTACTCATTACCTCCCTTTGTTTGCAGGTCTGGGGTTGGGAGCCCGGTGGTGGGCGGCGCGCTGGACTGCAAGATGACAAACGGGGTGTCTGAGGGCGTGTCGGGGGCGGCGCCCGTGGAGGGGCTCCTGTTTGCGGGCGGCGCAGAGGGCGTTAAGCCGGAGCCAGAGGACCTGACGCGCCGAGCCGTCAGTCCCGCCGACCGCGGCGTACTGTGCGACAAGCGACGACCGCTCTTGCCCCCGCCACCACCCCAGGGAGACTCACCGCCCGCTTTGGACGTTGCGCCCGCTCTCAAGGACGACCTCGAACACCACGTGATTAAAGAGGAGCTGGAGCACCACGTCCTCAAGGCAGAGTCGGGGGACCGTCCTCGATCCAACCACACACTAGTGATACAGGCGCCCCTGGACTCGGCCGAGAAAATGAGCACCGGTACAGGTAGCTACCTGGCCGGGTTCTCGGCCTCGTCCCCACAGTCGAGCTACGAGCATGTCTCGCCCTACCTATCGCCCTCGCCACAGCCGTACTCGACGAGCACGTCTCCCGCCGTGCGCGGCTCCCCGGCAGTGTACACTGTGACGGATAACTACTACCGTGACTACTATTCCCCCAGTGAGCCCCAGTATTCGGTGCGCCAGGAATACCCCTCGGCCGACGCCGGCTTCGTGGACCGGTACCTGAGGCCGCCCTACAAGACCAACGGCGTCTCCAGCACCCTCACTGTGGACTTACCCTCGCCCGCCGACTCTGGGATCTCCGCGGACGCCATCACCCCGCGCGACCAGCCAGTCCTTGCTCAGGTATGTTGCTTGTGGTAGTTTGGTGGTGGCGTACTGTGCGCCCCCTGCGCGCTCAGGCTTCTCTTCTTCCCTCCCCTCCCTACCCCACCCCCCCGCGCCTCTGCTCACGCGCACCTTTCACCTGCTGCGTTACTCTATGGCGGTGTTATTAGTCGTGCTCAGGCACTTGTCACCTGTGCTCAGGCACTTGTCACCTGCCGTGCTCAGGTCCCTCTCTCCAGCCCCTGCTCAGACCCTCTCCCGTGCTACGCTCAGACCCGTGCAGTGTTTGGCCGTGCTCGGCCCCTCTCATCTTTCTACCGCTGGTCCCTACATTCTGCTTGCCAAGGCTTTTTCATCTACCTTTCACCGTTGCTTTCCCAAGACACTCTCCCTCCCTCCCTGCCCCAGTCTCCTGGTTGCACTCTTATCAAGGTTCACTCACTCTACCTACTCAAGAACCGCTTCTCCGTCCAACCCAAGGTCCTCTTACCCTTCCTCCCTCCCCAAGGCCCTGTTACCCGTCCCTTTCTCCCCAAGGTCCTGTTACCCTCCCTTCCCAAGGTCCTGTTACCCTCTCTCCCCAAGGTCCTGTTACCCTGCCTCCCCCAAGGTCTTGTTACTCTCCCTTCCCAAGGTCCTGTTACCCTCCCTACCCAAGACCCTGTTACCCTCCCTACCCAAGGCTATCTCACTTTCGCTAACTAAACCTCTCACCTTCCCTTCTCACGATCTTCCACCAGTCTTCTTACCCCAAGGATCTCCCATCCTCTTTACCCAAGTCTCCCATACTTCCTCCCCATGGATCTCCCTCCCTCTCTCCCTGCCCAAGGCGCTCTCAGCCTCCCTGCCCAAGTCCCGCTTACTTGCCCTTCTCAAAACCCTCTTCACCTCTCACTCCCCCAGCTCGGCAACCCCCCCCCCCCTCTACCCCCTGCAAGTTGCCCTAACCAGGTTCCTGTTCATGTGAAGCTCCCAGTAAAGTTGACCTGTCGACTTCTTCCTCAACATTTTTGTACTAATTACTGAGCCCAATAGCCAGAGATCTCACCTATGGCCAGGAGTTACACTCACCAGTCAGGAGTTACACCCACCAGTCAGGAGTTACACCCACCAGTCACGAGTTACACCCACCAGTCAGGAGTTACACCCACCAGTCACGAGTTACACTCACCAGTCAGGAGTTACACTCACCAGTCAGGAGTTACACCCACCAGTCACGAGTTACACCCACCAGTCAGGAGTTACACCCACCAGTCAGGAGTTACACCCACCAGTCACGAGTTACACCCACCAGTCAGGAGTTACACCCACCAGTCAGGAGTTACACTCACCAGTCAGGAATTACACCCACCAGTCACGAGTTACACCCACCAGTCAGGAGTTACACTCACCAGTCAGGAATTAGACCCACTAACCGAAAGTTCTTTCCATTAGGCGAGGATCTTTCTAAATCATTTTCTTGAGACCCCTCTTAAGAAAGTTTTCGTCAGGGGTTTCCTCTCACACTTCTATAGGACCACCACTACTCTTCCCTCTCCTCTCCCTCGTCCCTAGAGCTCGCTCGCCAGTAGCAGCACACGGGCACACTTCACAGGAGGAAGCTTCGTGTACACGAGACTGGCTCTAGTTCTTTTGTTTACCTTGTGTCTTCTTCACATCACGTGTAAGACTGCTTACCCCGTATGTGAATGAGTGAAGCTTAGTAATGTTATTTTCAGGGAACGAGAAAGGAAATGTGGATCTTTCTGTGGATCTCTTGTGCGTCTTTGGACATGTGTGTATCTCCCGCCGTGTTGTGGTGCTCGATATACAGTGAGAACAGTGCAAATTATATTAGTAAATGTGATGAGCAAATATGTAGCAAAAAATAACGTGGTAAATTTCAACTGTGTATTAGTGAAAGCTTAATATTTTTTTTTATCTCTGGATGAGCTCATAAAACGGACATCTACTTACAGTGTTACAGTGAAGGAAAAAAGAAAATATATGACATATTTAAAGTGCGTGATTATTCACAACTGAAGAAATACAATAACGAAAACCCAAAAATGTAGCTCGTGCACAAAATGTATACGAACATCTCATTAGTGCAATGAACGGCAGTGCAGAACCTAATATTGTGCACCGCGCCTATGGTAATCCCACACATCCCTGACTCACGCCTTGGAACCCAATCTGCGAGGCGTTGAAATCTCCATTCATGTTGGGGTGGGGGATGCAGTTATCCTGGTGATGCCCCGGGCGGTGTCGTGAGTAGGAAGGGTCGCTCCCCACCCACCCCATGACGCTGCACTACCCACCCCTCACCCCTCACCCCTCACCCTAGGTCAAGCAAGGTAAGGGAGGGGGAGGGGGGCAGATGATGGGCTCCCGGAGAAAACTGGGTTATTGGCCGGTTTCTAACGAAAACTTAAGAGAGCGGTGGTGATGACCTATATTACTTGCCAATGATCTGTTGATTTTAGCCTAATATCATTGGGGTTAATTTAGTTCATATATGGGGGGTATACTAGGAAATTTAAGTATGTTGCTTTTTTATTTCTTTTGGCTTCTACAAAATCAATAGTATTTTTGTGGATGAAACAGTCCATTTGTGTACGATCCACCATCGTATAAGTACTATCGGTTTTTGGATAGTTCAGGTTCGGCAAAAGGTTTATAACGCAGTGTGAGTATAAAAGGTGAGGGCAGGGAGAAGAGGATGAGGGGGTCAATACCCAAAATGAGGGGTATTAGGGCTAGTGGTGTTAGATGAGGTAAAATCATGAGGATGCTTGTGAGTGAAGGTGAAGTGAAGGAGTGTTCATATCTGGATCTGGTTCGTATTTGGTTCTCAAGATGACACATTGTGTGTATGTGTGTTTGTGTTTGTGAGAGAGAGAGAGAGAGAGAGAGAGAGAGAGAGAGAGAGAGAGAGAGAGAGATATGATGAAGAAAACATTGGTCGGGAGTCCATACATTAGACAGCCGACAGCTAGAAATGCGGGGGTCCAAGTTCTAGCAGTTCCATCATGCAGGCACAAATAGTAAAAACACACACACACACACACACACACACACACACACACACACACACACACACACACACACACACACACACACACACACACACACAAAATAGATAGGTTGCATTGCAACAGGTTCAACAAGGCTAGTAGGCGGGGCATTAAAGAAATAGACGTCACTCTTCCGTTGACACTGTTAGGTAAACACACACACACACACGACGCCAAGGAAGATATATTTTTACAAGCACCATAAACTAGCAGGAAAGAAGACAGTGACCAACAGCACGGGCCGAATAACAGGACACGTCGAAAACTTGTTTGAAGACCCTAAAACACAGCCACAAATACTTCTTTTTCGGAATTACTTTACTGGGCTGTTGGTAACCTGAATTTTCTGAAGGGTGCAGTTTTAAGGTCAGTGAGTGCAGCGAGGGGTCAGTTTGGGCGCAGTTAGGGTTAGTTTGGGTACAATTGGGGGTCTGTTAAGGTATAATAAACCCGAAGTGCTTGAAGACGACTGAACTCCGGTTTTGGGGAGATAGGTGCATTGAGGATAATTTATGGGGGAATAAGGTGCATTGAGGATAATTTATGGGGGAATAAGGTGCATTGAGGATAATTTATGGGGGAATAAGGTGCATTGAGGATAATTTACGAGGGAATAAGGTGCATTGAGGATAATTTATGAGGAAATAAGGTGCATTGAGGATAATTTATGGGGGAATAAGGTGCATTGAGGATAATTTATGGGGGAATAAGGTGCATTGAGGATAATTTATGGGTGAATAAGGTGCATTGAGGATAATTTATGGGGTGAATAAGGTGCATTGAGGATAATTTATGGGGGAATAAGGTGCATTGAGGATAATTTATGGGGATAAGGTTCATTAAGCAAAATCTATGCAAGGCTACATATGCTTTCTTTAAATTATTGTTACTGTAAGCCTACTCTTTTTCTCTCTCGTTGATAGCTTCAATTATGAGAGACCAGTGATTCAGAGTTGATAAGGAAACTGCAGTGTAGTGAACGTGTAGTTTATTGGCACCCCACACACTCATAATGACGCAAAATTGACCAGTTAGGCAATCCCTGATGAGAGTGATTGACAGGTATGATGGACGCTAGACAAGCGACGTGAGAGTGATTGATAGGAAGGAATGTTAGATAAATTACGAAACTAAAGAACAAGATATCTATATGAACTTCACCTAAACTGACAAACAACGTATTTAAAGCTAATATAAGTCGAATATAATTAAACTAAATCAAAGTTGAGTGCGGTGAAGAAAACTTAAACTCTGGTAATACATGAAGTGCGTCGAGAGTAAAAGCTTGTATGACGAAAATTAACGAAAGTTAGAAATTAGTAAACCCGAAGATAGTGAAGATAATACCAGTAACTATATCTACAAACATGCTACAAGATAGTGAAGATAATACTAGTAACACTATCTACAAACGTCATTGTGAAAATGTTAATGTAGACACGAGGACTATGGCATCAAAGAGTAATAAATGTGTAAATGAGATAATCTGATAAATAAAGGTGCAGGAAGTAAAGTTTTAACAACTCAAACTGCGGAAGTACATGAAAGACAGAGAACTGCTACACCAAATAGAGGAAGGATAATGATAGACGTAAATTGGCAAGGAATAGACGGAACGACAAGTATTAGGACTAAACGGTTAGTGGTTTGTGAAATGTATATTTTAAAGGTTATTAGGAAGCATTTTTTTTTATCTAGGTGGCAAAGATTCAGTGGTTGACCAGACCACACACTAGAAGGTGAAGGGACGACGACGTTTCGGTCCGTCCTGGACCATTCTCAAGTCGATCGACTTGAGAATGGTCCAGGACGGACCGAAACGTCGTCGTCCCTTCATCTTCTAGTGTGTGGTCTGGTCAACTTACTTTAGCCACGTTATTGTGACTCATCGCCTGCATTCAGTGGTTGTATGTGAGTGGGAGGAAGGAAGGGTGTGTGAGTGCGTGTTTGCGAGTGAGTGGG